TCGCTAGTACACGGTCAACCGCCAGGCCAAGAGCAGGGGGCCCCAAGTCAGTGAGGGTGCTCAAGGTCTTATTGTCAGGCCGTTGGCTTCTTCCAAAATACATAAGTTGACCCAGAGCAGCCGTAAAGTGGGAAAAGGATGAACCCCAAGACCAAGAATCCTTTCGGCCGTATCGTGACAGCGGGTGAATAATCCTGACTTACGATACGAAAATTAAGCTTATCTGGAAGGACTTCACCTTCATTTTCGTATCAAGGAATTCCTGTTCCAAGATCCATCGTTCCTCTCCACCCGCCCCAGATCCAAGAAGGGGCCCAAGGAATCCCAGGCGAGCCACTGTGCCCCATCGGTTAACCCTTGATTTGTGGCTCGCCAAGGAATGAAGATAAGAGAGGAAAAAGACAAAGATAAGAGACAGCAACCACATGAATTTTACCTTTACAATAAAATTCATGAAGGTTACAGCCGCACACCAAGCCTTTAATTTATGAAGTAAAAGATATTATTTAAATTAAAGGCTTGCCCACGTTCACCCATCTTTTAATTTACTGCAATTCTCTTATTAATTAAAAGATGGACTCACCCTTAGCAAAAATAATTCTGTTTTACTTATTTTTGCTTACTTATTCATTCATTTGAATTTCTTCATTACAATTTATATCTAATAAATTTAATGATAAAGAAATTCAATGTTAAGTAATAATAAGTCTTATAAATCAATGACTCGCCATTTTAATTTTATATTATGGCGAGGGCCAATGGCTAGCATATAATATCTCTTATATCTCTATATCTCTTATATCTTTCATTTATATTAATTATATCTTTGTAAAAGCCATTGGCTATAATAAATAATAAATAAATATGGGGAGGAATATGAATAGACTACCAACCGCAAAAAATCTTACACTTGGATTTTTTATTGTGTTAACAGGAATTTTCATTAAGAAAATTCACCATGTAATTAAATGATGGACCAAAATATTCTTGAAATCTCTTAATATATTTTGGTCCTATAGGCAGAATTTTATAATATGTGTCTTTCTTTTCAATAAAATTCTGCCATGAATAATAAAAAATGAATGACTGACCATTAATTTTAACCTCATAAAATTAATGGGAAGGAATGAATAAATGAATAACACATATATGCCCTCGTTTCATTATTCACAGATTAACCGTGTAAACGAGGGCAGGGATTTCTTGTCATTCATTTTTTATTAAAAGATCTTTGGCATGCAAAAAAAGAGGAGGAAAAAATGAATGACAAATAGAAATCCAATAAGTGAATATTAATATTTGTTATTCATTTATATATTATTCTTTGCCACCTTAAAATTATCGGTGGCTTATGTTATTACATGGAGAATTCATGAGAAAGAACATATTATTAATGAATTCTCCATAAACTATTATTATTACTTCTATTATGGCAAAATGCTATGTAATTATAAGAAATCTATATTTTGTAATAAGCATTTTGCCATTATATATTTATCTTTTTATCTATATCTTTAGGGAATTTTCATTATAAGTAAAAGAAGTTAATAATATAGAAAATTCCCTTATAATTAATAAAGATATAAATATATATTGCCATTTATTTATAAATTAGAAGATACCAAATACATGAATAAATAAATGGCATTAAACATAAGAAATTACTGCCCCATTTTCTATTAAAAGATATATGAGAATTATTAAAATGGGGCATTAATATCTTATATCTTTTATTATCTTTCTATTCGCCCTTTTAAATCTCTTTATGGGCGAGACAATGGTTTATTATTATTTGCCATTTCCTTTTATCTTTAGAATACAGAGATTTTTACAGGAGCAAAGAAATGGCAATATAATATAGATAATAAGTTATAATAATAATATGGATTAATGATTGCCTTTATTATTTTGGTCCACTTTCTAATTAGCTTTTGGGGTGTTCCAGGAGTTATAAAAATAATAAAGGCAATATGAAATATAAAGAGAATAAATAATATAAGAGAGATAATTAACAATAAATATTATAATGTAGGAGCTAGCCGATAGCTTGGGTGCATAATTAAATTAAAGCACCCATCATTGTCATATAAGTATTATAAGATTATATTTACCCATCTATTTTTATATAAAAGGAAAGGATAAAATAAAAATAGATGGTGTGGATGAATTTTATAGCTCTTGTATTTTACTCTTATAAAATTCATCCATAATATAAATAATAATATATATATTGCATTTTGCTATAGTTCATATATCTTTTAATGCAAAATGCAATGATAAATTAATAAGAAGATAATGAAAAATCCATGAATAAAGAGTGAATTATATTATAATGGATTTTTCATTCACTTACAGCCATTTATTTTTCCAATATCTTATATGAATAAATGGCTGATATAATTTATTGATATTATCTTCTTATTAATATTATAGGGGCAACCCACTTTAAATGAAATATCTCTTAATTTGTGGGTTGCCATATGATCAATAAATATTAATAAGAAGGACAGAGTGAACCACCAATTGGAATTTATTTTACATTGAAATTACTTTAATAAATAAATTCCAATAGGATAAGAGAATAATACCAATGAATTTTATATGAAATAGAAATAACTTATTAATAAAATTCATTGGTAAGTTCATACGCTGGGATCAATCGCCAGGAATTATTTGTCCACTTCTTGTTTTCCTTCGTTATAATTCCTGGCCAGCGTATATTTATTTTATATCTTACTTTTATATTTCATGATGACTCCTTTTAATTTAAATTTAGGAGTCAGGCCATAGGCTATCCTGTATATTATATATTTATTATTGGCTTTTATTTATATTATCTCTCTTTATATTAAATAAAAGCCATGAAGAAGGAATTAATGGGATGGCAGAATTAATAATAATAAGAGACAATATATGATAATAAATAATTCTGCCATCAATAATAAATATAATGAGCTAGAGATTGACCTAGCAGATAATAATAATTAAAATCTGCTATCATTGAATTATAAGAAGGATTAATAATAATAATCCGCCATTTTCTTTTATGAAAATATAGGCGGAATAATATGATGGATAACTTCCTGGCGGTACATCATCTTTAATCTATCTTACGGTCAACCGCCAGGCCAAGAGCAGGGGGCCCCAGATCCAAGAAGGGGCCCATCTGTCTCTTCCCTGTGGCACCCAAGTCATGAATCCTAAAGCTGTAAGAAATGTGTACCATCGTGACTTACCTGTAGCAATCATAAGAGACAAAGACAAAAACCTTCATTATAAAAATCCACTATTATAAAATCACTTAATGAATGTGGATTTTTATCTCTCTTATTCTTATTCATTCATTCTCTTATATCACCATTAATTTATATGGTGAGAATGAATAAGAATGACCAACAGCAAGGATGAAATTACCAATCCATTAAATTATTATCTTTCTTATTTATATTTATTGGTAATTTCATCTGGATCACTTTCCTCATCATATTTTGCTCTATTTTTCATTATCTTTTATTAGCAAAATATGATGAATGTACAACCATTAAAAATAAGCTGTCTTAAGATACAAAAGCTTATTTTTATTCATCTATATCTTATTATATTTCTCTTATCTTTTAGCAGCTCATGGAACCTCACAAAGGAAAAAGTAAAAGAGCCAGTAAATATATGAGCTGCTATATTCTCTTCTTATTATTTCTTATTATATGTTTCTTATTGCCATTTAATTTCATTTGTATTTCTTATATAATTAAATGGCAATATAATATCATTTACTTTCATTACGCGATCATATGGTCTATCAATATTTATTTATGGATGATCGCGTTAACATTAATATTTAATATATAATTTTGACCGGCGGGTAACCTCCAAATTGAATAAAAGGGGAGGGAAAAGTTTATGCCGGTCAAAATATGATTAATAATATAATATTTATTCTATATTGGCTTTTATCTATATTCTATCTTCTTAATTGATAAAAGCCAATGGTAAATATAATAATACTGCCGTTTATTTTATATGATGGTTGCTATTTCTTATGAATAAAATAAACGGCAAATATTAATAGATATTATAATATTTATCCGCCAATATTTATTAAGAGAATTATAAAATATATTGGCGGATATGAATAAGATATAATATATATTTTATAATGCCATTTATTAATTCCTTAAGTCATTTTACATATAAATAAATGGCATTATTATCAATCATTAATATTATAGCTTCTGGAAAGGACCGCCAATATATTTTCATAGATTTCTTATCTCCATTTCTTATTATCTTAATGGTGGTCCTATAATATTAAATATGTCTCTTATAATTTCTGGCTTTTGTAATTTCCTAGTTGTTATAGCTTCTGAAAGCCAGAAATTATATCTTCTTTATTTTAATTTACTTTTCATGATCGATTTCTTTAATTTTACTTAGAAATCGAGGTCAATGGGTACGTCAATAGGATTATTTTATTGCCAAAAATCTTATTATAATTATCTTTTATATTTAGTCTATGATTTTTGGCATTATATTAATAGAATAATGATAGAATGACCGATGGCAACTAAGAAATTAATAAAATGAACCATCGGTCAATAAATATATAAGAAATATAAATAATAGATCGCCGGTGGGGCGCCGGTGGTGGAACCGCCGGGGAACGCTGGGCCGAAGAGGCGCCTCTCTTGGGTGTTCGGAAGGTCGATTTTGGTGTGGGGTTTAGATGGGAGAACGATCGCATGGACGGGATGGATGGGTCATGTAGACTCTTGCATTCATTCATAAACCACCCTAGTTGCAGTGGACATCCTCTGGGGAGTTTATGAAAGCAAGACGATCTATATACATATTCATTACACCTGGCACCAATCAGTGGCCTCAGTAATTATTCTAGCCAAAGAGCTGCAGTGTCCTCCCACTTCCCACAGACCAACCGAACTCCCGTCCCTCGCTCACCGCCCGCGCGGAGCGCGCGGATCGCAGATCTGGGGCCCGCGAACATGGCCAAGCGCACCCGTCGGCCATCCAGCTCCTGAGGTTGCATCGGAGGGATTCGGATGGCCAGCCGCCGGGGCGGAGGAGGGAGAGCGTCTTCCGTTTTTCACGGAGGTCCAGGAGGCAAGTTGGAGGGAAGCCTGGAAGGTGGGAACAGAAGACAAGCGCCATGCGCTTCTTTGGAGAGAATCCGATGTTTGGCCATCCATTCGGATTAGTTGTGGGTCTGTGTCAGCCATGCACCGATCAGCATAGCCTGCAACTGGACGACTGGATGTTCGGTTTCATCCCGTATACTTGACCCACTCCATTGACAAGAAGTTTGGGAGGATGGATGCTTAGTGCGGCTGCATGCATCTCACACGTGCTTGGCAGGCGCCACTTAAAGCATTAAAGCTAGGGCACCATGACCATGACGAATCACACGTCTTCATCCAATCGCTACATCTCTGTGGTCTGCCGATGGCTCACATCCGGACGGCCCATTGGGCCGCGGATGATCGGAGACCGCCTCAAACACCTGTTGAGGTCCCATCAGGTTCCTGTGAGATTCGGTTGTATACGGTCACCGGATGTCACCGGAGAACTTGCCGTGAAGTCAACGAAGTGGTTCTTCGTCAACGACCCAGGAGACGTAGACGATAGGTGGGTTGTCCTTGTTTTGGGCTCGTCCATCTATATGACAGGCTTATACAAACATGCAGGTGTATGCCACAGCCCAACAAAAAGCCAAGGGTCGGAGGACACGAAGCTGGGAATGCGCAACGGCAAGGGCACCAGGTCTGACAGCCTCAGCGCGGACGAGGTCGATCCACTTCTGCCACACTGAGGAGGAGGAGTTGTTCGTTTCGAAGCCAAGCTCGAAGGGCCGGGGGGGAAGCACTAAGACACCGTCCAAGTGGAGGCCATTCTTCCTTTGGGTGGGTGCCTTCGTCGCGGTTTCCTTTTTTGGGGGGCTCCGCGGGCGCGTTGGGCGGGACGCGTTCGACGCTTGTGGAGCGGGACACGAGGGCGGCGCTGCATTGCGACCTTTTTTGGGGGGAGTGATGGCCTTCCGAGAGCCCAAGTGATTGGGGGGGTGATTTTTGTGCTCCTCAAACAGCAACCGAGTACCAATCTTGATGTCAGAACGCGGATTCACTTTCAATCCGTTAGTTTCCTGTCTGGAATTCTCAAAACGACGAGGTATCTTAGATCTAAGATAGCTCCACCTCCGTTCCGCTCCACTCTCCCCGAACCACGCCGTCCGACGGAACGTCGTTCAAAAGTCGAGGCCTTCTGCCCTACCGGTCGCCCTCTCGGGCGGGCGGCGTTCTGATCTACAGCACTGGGAGGACGGGTCCCTCACAAAATTCCAGGGAGAGTTGTTTGCCAGGTGTCTTTCCTTGTCTTCACATGGAGTTTAACCATCTTCTCAGTTTTCCAGAGTGACCAGTGACCAAGTCGGGATTGAAACAAAAACTCATCGGCTTTGGGACTGCCAAAGCAGAAGAGTGGCCAATAGCCCAAACGTGTTTGGGTCGAAGGGTTTGCTTCGACTTGGATGACTGCTGATACAGACTCTTGTGAGCTTCCCAAGATGGGGTCAACATGTCAATTCAAGCAAAGTAGAATCTTTTCCAACTAGACTGGACCGATCTCCAGCAAAGCAGCCATCTGTCTATCAGCTAGGGTCTCCAACCAACCTCTCGCATCTGTTCTTTCAACACAACAAAGAACGCACCAAAAGCCTGGCATCCGGAACCTCTGACGCTTTCCACCTGTGACGCGAGCGTGGCTCGCTCTCACCCTGCTCTGCGACTCTCCCTGCCGCTGCTTCTCTTGTTGGGCTCCGGGATCGAAACGCCCGAGGCCAGCGGACTCAAATGGCGGGCGCACGGGCGGAGCTTTGCTTGGGCCGCGCCTGGACGGAGGTCCATCGGAGAAAGAAGACCGTTGCACCTGACTAGACATGACGAGGTTGCTGGGGGAATTAGAAGTCAACAGATGTCATTACGCATGGGCGGTGGCTTAGAAGCAATTTATGGTCACATGCGTTGCAGTCTAGTCTGGTCAAGTCTCATGCTCTTCTTTCAAGGTGTCCAACTTTGTGGTCACCCTATCATATTTTAATAGACCAACCCTCAGTACATGTGCCAGGTTGTCCCTCCTGTGCCATCGGATGGAAAGCGGGGCGTGTGGATTGGGCGCACTCTTGGCTACTATAGTGATGATCACTTACGGACTGAGGTAGGTGGGGCGAGAACACACGATATGACTGGATCATGACTGGTCCGACCAACCTAGCTGGGACCTGACTCACGTGTGCATCTCAGAAAGTGGACTGAACACCGAAACGAATCTCCGCACCAGCGATTCTGCGTAGTACGCACACTCCCGCTCTTTCTGTCGGTGACTCTACACTTCCCCACCCCCACAACAAATGGAACCTGTTTTTTTCCCCCTAAGAATCAAGGACCCTCAAAGGTGAAGGTTTTGAGGGTCCAAACTCCTGCGAACTGCAGGGTCAAAACCCTCCAGAAGTGGTCGGGTCCAATGACCCTTAGGGTCAAAGAGGCGATTTTTCGCCCCGGAGCTCTGCCGAAGTCACCCCCCACGCCTCACGCCTCACGCCGTCCGTGCCACGCCGGGTCACAACGAGGACTTCAGCGCCACGGGGCTCACGCCCGGCGCGGCCGACGCCGCGGCCGCGGCGAAGTCGCTGGCCATGAGGGCCCCGATCTGGAGCGAGGACGGTTGGATGGGGCGAGTGAGGGCAAGTGATGGCTGGATGAGCGAATGGAGTTCTGTGGAAGGGATGAATGTTTTAGGATGGATGTCAATAGATGGAGGAGACGTAGATGCAGTACTTGGGATCTTGGGAAGTCGTGGAACTCCTGGAGGGAAGTCGTGGACGTCGATTTCTCAGTGATGTCAGTCATTCGTGGGGGTTTTCACATCCGTCTTTCCAAGGGGACATTGATGAAGTGCTTTTGATAGTTGCACTACCATCGCCCACACCCCCACACAACCCCAACGCGGAATGCATGCGTAAGCGCCTTAGTCACCAGAACGACACGATCGACACAATCTCTGTGACCTCACCCCCCTAGCCTTCAGTTCGACCAAAGAATAGTTGACCTGGCAGTGTTGTGTAAAAATTCCGTAAAACTGGTCCTTTGGCAAAGACTCATTAAAACAATGGTCCTGCAGTCATAAGACGGGGTGCTATCCATGGAGGTTACGTGTGCCCCTGTCACATCCACTCACTTGGGGATGTTTCACACCACCCCAACATGTGACTCCTGGCTCGTTCAAATATGTTCGAATCCTCTAGGGACCCAAGTCACCCAAGTCACCCCCCCACGCCGGACAGTCTGCAGACGGGCCTTGTCGCCCATCATGATGCAGGGGCAGTTGGTGTTGCCGCTCACGATCTTCGGCATGAGCCCCGCGTCGCACACCCGCAGCTTCGCCACGCCCTGCACGCGGCCGCCCACATCGCCTCAAATGGCGATAAAGCATGAGCGTGCCCAACGACTCACGCGGGGTGTGACGTGGGTCGCCGAAGGGCCGCCCAGTGGCTTGGATGGAACTTGTTACTATCTTAGGAGACATCCAGAAATCCACCGATACAATGAGCTTCCCACGTTTCATGGATACTGCCACCTACTGCCAAAGCAACAAGCTCCGGCCCGGCTCCTGCCCAGCCTGTCCCCACCCCCCAAGCTCAAATGAAGCTCCTCCGGCTCCTGCCCAGCCTGTCCCCCCACCCAAAAAATCCCTAGCCCGAGTTCCAAGCGACACACCGCCTTGGGATCACCGATGGGTCCCATGGGAGTGGTACAGGAGTAGTGCCAGGTGGTCTGCGCATTGCTGCGGATGTAATTGTCGATCCTCGGATGGGATCGAAGGTACGACGGCGGCAAACGACTGCCTGGAAGTTGCCAACTACCCTGGGGGTATTGTGGAGTCAATGATAAATATGATACATGAAAGTCAATGGGAGTGGATGATCCTGAGTAGTACCCTGCGGCTCCAGTCGTACCTTCGTTTTGAAGGTGGGACTGGCGGTACAAGGAGAGTCCAGTCATGCCTTCTGAGGAGGTACTTAATTAATTGGAGCCCTACGCACAAGAAAACCGCCCCCATCATCCTCCAAAGTTTTGGAGATTGCTTCGACACGTATTGCAATAACTAGTGACTTCCAGGAATTGTCCCTCTATCCTTCCCCAATCAGTTTGACAAAAAGGGTCCGAGACTCACCTCCTACCCTCCTACCCTCCTACCCCCCGTACCCCCCCTACCCCCACCGCCCGAAGCCCAGCACCCACCGGGCGTCTCGCTGTCTGGCGCGTCGGAGGCGGGCACCGGCACGGCGCCGGCAGGGTCGAAGTGCTTCGTCATGATGGGGTGCGTCCTCGGCGCTGGGCGGCTCATCGGGGCGCCATGGGGCGGCTGGGTCCGAAGCGGCCAGCCAGCGGCGCTGGGCGGGAGCTCCCGGCGTTTCTGCGAAAGGGGCGCAGGGGGGGGTCGAAGTGGCCCCCGGGTGGAGGCGACGTGCTTCAAGTCCCCCAAATGTGGGGAGACTCGGTGTGGAGACTTGGGTGGTGTTCCGGCCGCCTGTTGCGGCGGTGTGGCAAGCCTGCGAAGGTGTTACGGCGCTGTTGCGGAACTCGGGGAGTTCCTTTTTTGGGGACGCAGCGAAGGAGCGTCTGGTGCGGAACTCAGTAAAACGGGCTTTCAACTAGACAATTCAAGATTATCGTGCATATTCTTGAACTGCTTCTGCTGGGTTGGGGGAGATCATAGACCAACAATCCACCATGCCAAAAATTGATTGTTCACAATCAAAACCAATCAATCAATTGGTTTCAACTCCGGCATGTTGATTTCGCCAACGGGTGTGGTTGATGGATCGGGACCGCTCCTCGCTCCCCTCAAGCCACGCAACCACCACAACGCCCCACACCCGGATGTCCATCACCTAGCTATTGGTGCCTTTCACCTGTCCCAGGCACATGATCGCGCGGATGCGCCGGTAGCCCTGCGACAGATCGGTCGGTGTTCCCGGTGGGAGCGTCAATGCCGTGGCACCGTGGCAGAGTGAGTCCACAGCGGAAGGAGTCTTTCCATTGTGCCTGTGTCCTTTCTTTGCTCGACGTGTTACTTACTAAGCCAACAAAGCTACTGTGCGCGTCAATCAAGCACCAAGGAAAACACATATTATATCATTGTTTCAAGGTCCAATCCATGGCTGTACGCGTTTTTTTTCCTAGGTGGATGAATCCAAGACACTTCCTCCCCAAACCGCTCTCACTTCTCCCCAGCGACCCGGTCGCAGCTTGGCGACGAATCGAACGTGTTGGACCTGCCGATTCTGCCGATCCGAACGGGCTGAACGTACCGCCGCCGGCTGCGGCCGTCACGACGGAGAGCCCCATTTGGAGAGCATCTTGACTGTGGGAGGTCCGAGTTCTTCGACGCCCAGTTCGGAAACCGGCCCTTTTTTCCAGAGGTTTTGGGAACTGAGTGCATGCTGACTTAGCTTGGAGATTTGGGGGTTCCTCCGAATCCCACCGGTTCCCTCCTCCTCAAGGCCTGGATCAAGGCCTTCACATCGTCCGGGTCGGTGAAGTACCTCGCCGCCCGAGCGGGGCGGGCGGGCTTCACAGGCTGTTGGCGTCATGGAAACGTGCCATGGGATGCAGAAAGATCGTTTCAAATGGTCCATCAGCATCCCAATACATTGATCTGCCCTGCAACTGGAGGAGTCAAGGTTGTTGGGACCTGGTCTGGCTCCATCGTCCCAAAAAAAGCCACCTTCAACACCAACCTTGCCGGGTCTGGCTATCTTTGCTACCTTCCTTAGACTCTTTGATGGACCAACCCTCCTGCAGCTCGCCAACTCACCCGTCGCAACTCACGTCCTCCGCCCCGGTCGCGGGTCTCGGATCGGTCACTGGGGGTCCACGATCGGCAAGTCATGGGGATTCGCGGAGGCCAAGCGGACCTGTCACGGACTGTAGACGAGGCGCAGTGAATAGGCGGACCTGGTTCACAGGCGATGTGATGTGGGGAGTGCAGTGGTCCTGTGGAGAGACACAAATCACACGGACCAAGGCCCTCCAAATCCGCCAGCACCAGATCACATCGTTGATCAGTGAGGAACAGCCGGAGGACCACTACATTTCACACACTTTGTCTACAGTTTTTTTTTTGAATCTCGCAATAATGTCTAAACAAGGGTTTCGAGGGTGTCCAGCAACGAGGATACTGTTGATCTGCCTTGGGATTTGCCCTGCTTCTCTTGAGGTGGTTGAGTGGTTGTGAAAGTCTCTGACGAGGTGTTTGTCCTGGAGCAACTGCTTGTGACGGGTCGCTGTCTTTGACCGCTTGTCTGTCTTTGACCCAGGAATTGGAAGGCGAGGTGGGACTTTTCTCTTCGGAGAACCTTACTTGGTGAGTCAATCCCTGGGCACTTGTTGAGTCAGCCCCTGGCTTTAAGCCTTAGGATCGAGAGATAAAAGGATCAAGTTGTGATCTTGGATCCCTCAGCTCCCGTGATTGCATCTCTTGGAGTGGATCATCTCTTTCATTCTCTTTCGCTTCAGCAACTCCCTCCAGCAAGCACCAGCACCCAACAGCAACACCATGTCCGTCTCCTAAGGGGCCACCCGTCAACACCCGAAACCCACCTTGTCCCGTTCAGTGCCCGCTGCACTCCGTCAATGAAGCAAACTGGCTTCCCGGTTGAGTCCAGCTTCCGTGGCTTCCCACCCTTTCGGGTGGAGGACGGCGCCACGGAGCGAGGACCTCCGCTTTCTCCGATCCGTCTCGTCCAAGGCACGGTGCCACGGCTTTGTGCGTGGTTGTTCAGCATGGTCACGGAGTAGAACCTGCCCGCCGAGTTCGGCGCCGAGTTCGGTGCCGCCTGAGCCCCAAGAACGACCCGCCAGTGGCGCGGAGGTCTCTGTGGCCTTCCGTTTGAGAGGTCTCTGTGGCTCTGTCGGAGCTTCAGGGACACTGTTTGAGGGACACGTTGGCTCTTCCAGGTGAACCCCCTGCTCTCCCGATCGCGGCCGCGGGCGCGGCCCCGCTCTTCGGCTTCGCCTCTGGGTGAAAGCGGATTTCACCGACCTGGGTCGTGGGGGCTGTGGGGGCCACGGAGGAGAGCGAGGAGAACTTGTCAGCCATCCGTTCTTCAATTGAAAGCCTCAAATCCAGCTCCCATATGGTTCCATAACACAAGGCCACAAGGCTCATTCAGAACGAATTCACGTGGAACCCATTCTTGTAGAGCATAGTGACTTCCTTTGGTCAGAGTTGCTCAAGCTTGAAGACATTTCGCAAGAGGAAGGCAATGAAATCCGTCAAGACCTTGTAGTCCTAGGCGTCACTTCCGTCACACTCGCGGCCGTCCGGCGTTGTCTGAGCGGGGTGGCTTCACACGAGTTCGGGTGGTCTGTTAACCACCATCGGAAGAGTGACCAGGGATATATAATCAGTTATCGACATGAAGACTGGGATGTGCAGTTTGTTTTTCACTCTCAATAGATTGAAGTTACGGAAGTTCTCCAAGGTCCGGAATGCGTTCTTTAAGAATCTTTCAGATCTGCCACAGGAGCCCCCTCCTACGCGTGAGGTTCCCAAACTTGTGGGAAACGAATCGAACAATCATCGAAAGAATCCACCAGCCGATTCTTCCCACTGGAAACCTCACCTGAACCGCCTGCCCGTCATGGCCAAGCATCCCTTCGATAATCGGAGGAAAGGCGGTGGAACACGTTCTGCCCTCGGCGTCGAGCGCTCGTGAAGACCCGCTCTCGACTCGCCCTGGAGGGATAGAGAGAGAGGAAGACCCTGGTAACCTGGTACACTCAAAACTGGTGCGTCTGATAGCCCGACAGCCCATGGCTCTTAGGGTAGTGCCGTTGTTGTGAAATTGCATTCCTTTGCAAGTGTCTCAACATGTCTTTTGTCAAACAAATGCACCTGATTTCTTCAGCAGCTGTTCGATCAAAAATGCGACATAGTCCGACAGAGGGAACACATCGGTTATCGTGGCAGGTGTCGATCGCGATTCAATGATTCACATTGCAAATGTGGGGGACACATTCTGACGAAACATGGTCATCATGGTCCTATACGATGGCACTATGGTCTCACATGGCTTGGATTCAGGGGCACGCTTAGATATACAATATGATCTATGACCATGGCTCCATGTTTGTTGCCATTCTTCATGATATTCCAATCCCTAGGCTTCCAACCACTTTACCGAATCAACCAAGGATTTTACACTACAAAAACCAGGCCGTTCTCATCTTTTTCATGGTCAGACGGACGTCTAGGGAATGACACCTCTCCAAAAAGCCCCTTGCTTCCGCCATGACCTTAGTTCCAATGGATACCTCCTTTTCAGTTCCTCCTGCGGCACAAGGGGCCCAACAAGTGGATGCCGGCCTTGAGGCCTCGGCCGCCAACCAGCGACACGACGGCGACACGGGCGAGACGGTTGGGGGGGGCCATTTTCCGAATGCAGACCATTTCCCAATGCGGAAGATGAAGATGGGGGAATTCTGGGGTCTTTGGGACCATGTCGGGTATGGTTTTTGTGGCAACTCTTTCTCGATGAGGACTCTAGATGGGAGTATGGATCCATCAGGCCTTGTCTTTTGCCTTCCCCCAAGTTTTTGAGCCAGTACCCCCTTTGTTCCACACCCACTGCTGCACCTTCCGTCTTGGAGTTGTACAAAGATCGGTACAAGCTGCATGCTTGACTAAACCTGGTACTAAGCCTGCTTGAGGAGAGTACCAAACATCCAAAGCTTGATCAACAAGGGCCAAACATACATAGTTCATACACACACCAACATCCATTGATATAGTGGATTGATTCGTAGGTGGCACAATCCCCAAAAGGTGGTTTATATGGACCTCCATCTAAAGGACATCTTGGGCTTTGTGCCATCACTCTAAAACCACTGCAGATATTTCTCATAGATAGAATGGTTTCCAGAACAACTTATGAATCTATCATAGATTCTATCATAGATGATCTTAAGTGGTGTTCAAAAAAACCACGTTTATTCTCAAACCTATCCACTTATTTCACTATAGATGAACCTGTCCCTTCACCGGAGCCCTTCCTCTTTTCATCGAACCCACCGACCGCGACTCCGGCTTCTCCCGCGACCGACGCATCGTCGTTTTGCCCAGTGGCCCATGCTGGGATCCGGCCGATTCCTCGGTTTGGCCCGGTGGAGGAAGCAAAGACCCCAAAGATACGCCCTGTGCGAAAGGAAACGAAGAGGAGATGTGGAACAAAGGAGGATCTTGAGACATTAAGTCATCATGAATCATACCACTATAAAATACACTGTGCTGGGTTTTGGGATCATTCGCTGGGTTTTGGGTTGTGCGAACACCGGATGTACTATAGGATATTCAGTGTTGGATCAATCTGTAAGGATTGCAGGATATCTGTGCATTTTTGAGCACACCACATGTACAAGGATCATTGCAAACAAACACCTTCGAGCTTGTTCTGCGAAATCCAACTGGTCTGTTTCCACGCTAAGTGTCACCAGGATGATCTGAATGTCAGCACCCAGTGGTCTTTTCAGTTCCTCCTCGCGCTTCTTGTCCACCTCGGACCTCAAGGATGAAAGCGGCTGAGGCACCTCGTGGACATCTGGTTGCTATAGACAAGGAACAACGCAACCTGAACAGATTCTATGGCCTCCAAATAACTCTAGGGTTCAGCACTAACTCTTTATCCACAACTGGTGAAGGCGTTCTAAAAGCCTCGTGAACTCTGTCCATCTTCGTGGATTTATTTGTACCCTTCTCGGGTTCACTGGAACACTTTCCTCTACCCCATTCAGGTAGTACACCCATTGCTGGTGTTTCGTTTATGAACGTGTTCAGGCTTTATCAAGCCGCAAAGAACTCACCTTCCATATTGGCTCTCAGCCCAGCGCTCACAACAGCAGCCGGGGGGGTGAGGAGAGGCCGCTGGGAGCTTTATCCAGTACTTCACCCTATTTTTCTAAAGAATACAATCTACCTGAACCGTCCATGGCTCTGGAATCCAGAATCTAGAATGTTTTGCTCGATGATTAGCACATGTCGGATCTCTGCTTCTCCGCTCTCAGATCTTCATGTTAGGACTCTCCGCCCGAAGCCCGGTGAAGACCGGGGCACTGCCAGAAGAGCTGCGCGTTCAAACTGCTCGAGTTGCGGTACGCGGCGCGGGGCATCGTCTCCTCCTCACCGCGGGGCTCGCGCGGACCATCGACGCGATGGTCGTCGCGCGGACCATCGACGCGATGCGTCACCCCGTGGTTCTGTGGTGCCATAGGGCCCTCCTGAATCTGCTCTCGACCCCTTCCCAAACAGCAGATTAAGCTCTTTTGGGAAGCCGAAAAGGAGTCTGGAAGGAGTTTTTAATTGGTGCAAAGACTTGCGGTACGTACGTACTTTGACTCGTGTTCCAAGCTATCTTGGATTTGCTGAAGGAGCTGGAAAGAACTATATTCCTATTCCTCCCAACCAGCAAGGCCTTCGCTCAAAGGGGGGAGAGAGAGAGAGCAACACTCAACACCCACTCAGGCAACTCCAAGCCATTTGGACATCAACACCCCCTTTCCCCCTGCAAACAATCAACCAAATTCAACTGACTCCTTCAGTTTCCCTGGACAACAAGGACTCTCTTGACCAAAAAATTGGCCACCTGGATTTGGATTCCTGGATGGGGTGACACCCCTGTCCTCCTGTCCTCCTCTCCCACCGAGACTTAGGGTCGCTAACCCAAGGTCCGAGCACCAAAGCATCGATTGTGGAAAGCAGCGAACGTTCGCCTCCGAAGCGACCGGTCCTTGGGCTCTCCCAGGAGCACCGTCGGCACCAAGGGATGGTCCTACCAGCGTGCTCGTCGCGGCTCGTCGCGGATAGTCGGGGCTTTGGGATGTGGTTCGGAGCTCCTGAAATGCGTTACTAAGCTTATATGAGTCAATAGAGTCCATGTTTCTCTGTGATTGTATAGGAAAAGGCAATCTTTTGGACAAGATTGGAAGGAGTGGATCGGAATTCCTGGCACCTGCGATCTTCCTCCCGGTATTTCGAGGCATCGAGAGTCGAAGACGCAATCGGGTGGAGAGTCGATCGCGAGAAATCCGACGCCCTGGGGGAGAGGGACGACCCGGCCGAATCCTGGGTTCCTAAGTAAGTGACTTGCCATGATTTGCTACTTCACCTTGCAGTGGGTAGTTGCTGGTAACGCCTCCAGGCGCCTGTGCCTGATATGTAATAACCTCCAATAATGCAGTATCTAGTGTGCTTGATATATGACTTTGTCCTTCTGTGAGCTACAGGTGTGTTGGGGGGGGGTTCGGGGGGGGGGCGTGGTTTCGTTCGGTTCGTCGATTCGTTCGTTTTCGTGCGTTTTCGTCCGTTCTCCTTCGTTTTCGTTTGATTACGGGACGCAGTGCATCGATGCTGCTTGGGGAAGCCTGAAGCGCTTCATGCCGAAGCAGGTAAAAAGAAAAGGAAAAATGAAAGGCGTCAGTTGCATGAATGCAACGTTGGAACGCCGTGTGTACCAATGGCTCTGGCGCAAAAACCTCAGAGCTGATGGAGATGTCACAGGACAAGAGTTCCTGGTGCACTTGTCGAAGGCTTGCCGCTGGAAGTGAAAAGCAGCGTATGGCGGTTTTCCCGCTGAGCACTTTGGTGAAAGAATTGACCAATTGGGACCGTTTGAAAACCGACAGAGCAGACTATGGCTTTTTTAAGAGAGAATGTCACAGCTTTCATGCCATGTTGCTACAAAGAGAACTTACACCAAGACTGAGTCCAATCAGTTCGTGGAAGGGAGTCCTTCTCTCTGAGCATTGTGTCTCATGCTTAAGATGATTGATCCCAATTTATCTGATTGCTGATGGAAACAAACTCTTATTACTCAGGTACTTGAAATAACAAAAACTAATGTCCAAATTGACGACCCCATTTTTACTCAATTTTCTTGAAATGGTCCTCCTCAGGGGGTTTCAGGAGAGATGTAACACGCCACCCACAGGCGCCAGAAGGCGTCGTCACCTAGTTTTGCAGTGGGTAGTTCACCTGTGGATTTTCTTTTTCGACTCACCGTGGACTCTTGCAGGGGCAATTACATGAAGGATTCCTGGATCACGCAAACATCACGTCATGTTTCCCTTTCGCTTCTATTTGCCACGATACGTCTGCCCCCCCCCAACCAAGGCCGAGCCATTCCTCTTGTTGGCCCCCTTCCCCCGGCTGCAAAGGCGCATGGAGCTTCTGGGGGTCCTGGAGGTTCTGTCCCACTGGGAGCTCGCGCACACATTCGATGCCATGCTCCTGGCGCCGAGACTCACGGCACGGGGAACGCCCGTTGACGCCCGTGCGTATAGGCACGGAAGGAGTAGATGTGTGGACGACGTTGGAGAGGTCTTTGTTGTGAACATGTGGACCTGGGAAGCTCACCGTGATTTTTTTTCCATGAAGCCTTCCACCACAACGACGTGCTAGCTGTGGGAGTGGGAGCCACTTCTCCGACTCCCTCCTGGGCAACCTCCGTGTTTTTCCCCGAAACTCGACCGGACCTCTTCCAGAGCCCGCCCAAAGCTCCTTCAGGTGTTTGGCTTCGCCAATGCCGCTGAGCCTCGGAGAGCTCCAAACAACCACGACGACCTATCATATACCATACTCACTTGGGGTGCCCATATATACACTCCTCAAACGCATACACTCCTCATATATACTCCTGGGAGGAGTGTATGCCCTCCGGTTTGGGGTGTCCAATATTGGCCCCGAAGAGAGGTGAAGCACGCGAGACCAGAACACATTAAAAAACAAGACGTGCACCGCGAGGAGGAAATCTTCCAAACACCAAGTCCTTTATGCACTGGAACAATCTCGGTGATGTGGATGGCATGGCCCGGAAAGGATGAGTTTTTCGCATACCAAAATGGTGGTGGTACACCATCCACCTCCATGTGCTGGTCTGACTCGGAGAGTATGATGTGCATGCACATGCATGCATGTGCATGCACTGGATACTTACTCCAGATACTCCCAGATCCACTGTTGAAGGGGCATCCAGATCTGGATAGACGGTCAGTCGTTCTTTTGGAGACCTTAGAAACCACTGGATTCAAAGAGGAAGCTCCACGATGCGCAGGATGTTGTGCAGCAAACATGCAAAGGGGACCTTTTTTACCAAGGGATGTCTTAATACAGAGATCTCCTGGATGTTGAGCTGGACCCATGATGACCCATGTATTGTGGTTCCGTCACTGGTGCCACGCATCCTCCCACGGATCTATCACATTGAAAGCTTGGCAACGAGGCCCCAAACAACTTACAACCCTTAGGCCCTCACTTGTGGTGTCAGGAGGCCACTGGCCACTCCCAGCCCTAGCAGCTCACAGGGTCGGTCCAAAGAACCCTCAAGGACTTCACCCCAAAGCACTTCACCCACAGCTCACCTTCCCCTTTGGGCGAGTCGAGAAGACACGCCTTTCAGCTCGTGAAAGGTCACTCCGCTCGGCTCAAAACGACTCGAGCGGACGGAGCCTCGGATAGTACCCGATCTCGGCTTCCTGGCTCCACACCCATTGAATTTTCATAGGGCGGGCTGGTCATCCCGAATCAACTAAGGATTTTACAGAAAAAACACCAAGTCAACCCATTTTTTTGCCTGGTCTTCGCCTGAAAAGTGTGATCCTGGATCTCATCTCTGATCTCTACACTCATGTGACGATGGACCAGCGAAGGGCTTTCATGATGCGACTGGCTTTCATGATACACTCGGCTGGTGCCAGTCGAAAGGAATGAGGGTGATTGGATCCTATCTATTGTGCCGTGGGCGGTCCTCCCTTCCACGGCCGAAAGATTATCCTTGCGTGCCTATCTATATGATAGCAGGGGGTTCCTTTTCTTCAATAGTAGGGGGGGCCATCTTGTGACCCTATCTACTGGTACCACCCAGTTCGGGTGGTTGAAAGAGGCCCCCTGACTCTCCATTTTCCATCTAACAACTCTTTGGGTGGTGCTGGTAGATAGGGAGACCTCAGCACCGCCTTCCGACCTCCGTGGCGTTCACCCTCTTCCGACCGAGCAGCATCAGGATCTGCGGCGTCAGCAGCGCGCCGGCGCTCAAGACCACCTCGCGCCTGCGGGGGCGCGCCTTGGTCCAGGTGTATCGGTCTTCTCTCGGGGTTTTCTCTCGGGGTTCTCGCTTGGGGCGTCTGCTGCTCCAAGCATGTGTGCATAGGTTGGAGACTTTGTGCACGGGCTAACAAGACATGGAGGCCGAGAAGTGTTGTGGCGAACGGGCTTTTGGAGGACGTGGAATGGTGGTCTTGGTCCCTCACTAATTAATCGACTTGACAAGTGGTCTTCAACCGTACAAAACATCACCCATCCGCCTCTTCCACACCCGCAAGATCACCCAATAGACCAACAAAGATCAAACCATGCATAAAAAACTCATCTTCAGTCTTCCTTCTTCAACCTGTCGTGTCATATGATTACTTCTGTCTTCCCCCCCTTCAACCTGTTGTGTTCATTACAGTACATGTTCGTCACGTTTTTTCACTGTTCCACACCGGCAAGGCACACCTTTCCCCTCTCCCGGTCACCCGGTCACCGCGGGTCCTGCACTTCACCTCGAGGATGTCCCCGGTGCGGAGCTCCACTTGGACTCCCGTGGCTCGAACCTGGCACGCGCGCCGCAGAACACCGTTCTCGCACGTGGGGAGGGTGGTTGGGTGATGGGATGATTTTCTCAGTTTGGTGTTGCTTTTCTTCCGGAAGAAAAGTAAAATAAACATGAAACGCATGCAGATCTGGTATTCCGTGCCACGTTGCATGCCATATGTTGAAAAGTGATGATAGGAGTTTTAGCAGTATGACCTTCAGGGTAGAAGGCACAAAACCGTTGTGAACAGCATTGCTGCAGGTGCTTGTGAAAGTTCGCGCTCAGGAAAACAACCACAAAAAATCATTAGTTTAATTAATATAGTTCCAGATAGCCAATTCTGTTTTTTGCTATTGAAGATGACATCATGATCATATCAAAAGAGGGAAGGCATTCCTCATTCCACTCACTGCAACACTGCAAGCTGTTCTTTGACTCTGCAAGAAGTTCCTGCCTGGCCATCTGTTTTCTCCAGCAAGACTTTCCGGCAGAAGGTCTCACTGGCCACATGAAGGTTGGGATACCACCTGGCGCGAACTCGTCGCACTCACGCTCACCGCGGTCACTGGGCTGACACTTGGTCCCTCAACGCCATCGGGATTGGTTCGGACTCTGGACCCCTCTATATATGAAGCTCCGACTCCCCTCCAGTACTTAGGAGGGTCCATGGAGCTTCTGGGCAAAAGTTGTTGCTTTCCATCTCCTGAACGCTTCTCTCCCGTGTCCATCGCACATGTCTACTGTACCTCCAACTCATCCCAGTGTGGCGAGCCGTTCATCCATCGAAGTGCCACTGGATCAGATGATGAAGATGATATATTACTTGCCCAGACGCTCCAAACAGCCCTTGGTCCCTCAAAACCTAGGGGTTTGAGACCCCAGACCCCTCCATATGAGGGCCCGACCCCTCCATATGAGGGCCCATGAGCGTCTGGGTGGTTCTTCAAAGTGACCGAACTTGATCACCTGGTTGGTTCGATCACGGACAAGCCTCCTGTTTGGGTCACAAAAAGGAACCTTCAAGTTAGGTCACGAACTGAAGAAGCTGGTCATATGTCTTTTCCTTTCACCCCCAACTTCCATACAACACCTACCCCAACACACACCAGCCTGGTCGGTTCCGCTTCACCGCCACCGGTCCGCCCGTCCTTCGTCCGGCCCCGTTCGGGTCCGGTCCGGCCTCAAGATGGGCTCGATGAAGGCGTTGAAGCAATCCTCCCGGCCTGGAGAGGACGAGTGGTGTGGGAGCCAGTATGAAAGAGGTTGAATGACCCCAAGGTTCTTGCAGAGGTTCCGAGGTTCTTGCAGAGGTTTTTCCAGACTCTCTCCGATTGACTCTACCCGCTGGTTTTCCGGGTCCTATGGTCTCCTATGCTCCTGGTCACTGGCTACCTCTGGAGAGGTATGCGTTTCCCGCTGAATGAGGGCCCAGCATGAATTTAAGAGGCTTCCAACCCGAATCTAAGGATTTTACACTACCAAAGCCAGGTCGTTCCCATTGGTTTCATGGTCTTTCCGGAAGTCGTGTGGGTTTTTTGGAGCGGAGGTCTGGCACAACATGTCTCATAAATATTCAGCTGGGCTCCATCTACAACATCGACATCGACGTGAAGCACCTAAAACATGCACCATGAAGGCACATCGGCAGGTAGGATGGAGAAGATGGTTGGTCTCTGTGGTGGGTCTACGAGGATGGTGTCATGGGTGTCTTATCATGTGGTTGGTCTACCGGGAACGTCTACAGAGGTCTTAAAGTACGTGGTGAACTGCTTGGTCCAATGGTCCAGCTGTCAGGTGCTTCAGCTGTCACCGCGATAGACAAGGTCTTTGGGGTCCAGCTGTGCTCCCCCCCGGGTGTTCTTCAACTGGTCCATTTGGTGAATCAACATGTCACATGTCCCGTGCTTTTGAGCGATCCTTACCGAACCGGTGGTGAAACCCAGTCCTCTCTTCTTGGAGGGTTGAACTGTGTTAGCTCTGCCCTTCCAACAGGGGTGTATAAGGTTCAAATAAACACGAAACCTCTGCTGTCGCACAGGGTTGGCGGAACTTGTCCGAAAGTAACCTGAGCCAAGGAAAATGCCTTGGATGCGGCACATCTGTGGCCCGAACATGTCAGGACAAGTTACAAGTGAAAAGTGGACTTCAGGGCACCCATAACTAAGTAAAACCATCCAAGATGTTCAAAGTAAAAACGTATTAAACCACATTGTGGTTTAAAAAATATCTTTAGAAGAACCCATCTTCAAAGCCCTCCCACCGGTTTCTTCCAGACGGTTCACTCTCCGCCCTTCCTCTCCGCCCTGACTCCGCGGAGAGACGGCTGAACCGAGCACCGAGACTCCGACCCGCGTTCTGTACAAAACAACCGTTATCCCGGCAAGAGACCCCAAACAGTGTGTGTGGTCTACAAGCAGAAAGTCTAGCCAGAAAGGTGATGGTGGTGATGAAGGTGGAGATCGTGGTGATGGTGGCGGTGGTGGTGAGTGTGACTGTGAGTGTGAGTGTCTGTGAGTGTGTGTGTGAGTGAGAGTGATAGTGTGAGAGAGTGAGTGTGGGAGTGCGTGAGTGCGTGAGTGAGTGAGTGAGTGGTTGTGAGTGAGAGTGAGTGAGAGTGAGTGTGAGAGTGAGAGTGTGTGTGAGTGTGAGTGCGTGAGTGAGTGTGAATGTGAGTGCAAGTGAGTGGGTGTGAGAGTGAGAGGGAGAGTGAGTGTGAGTGAGAGTGAGTGTGAGTGAGAGCGAGTGAGTGAGTGAGTGTGAGTGTGAGCGTGTGTGAGTATGAGTGTGAGTGAGAGCGAGTGGCCGTACACAAGCGAGGGCTCAAGGTCTCCTACACGCACAACTTCACATCTTATCCGCTTGGAAACACAAACCTCAGAGATGACACTTGTGCCCTAACAGTGGCAGATGTATTTCGCCTGGCGGGGCGCATGGTATTGCGAAAGAACCGGAGTAGCATCGCGAACCAGCGCATGCTAGGTTGTCGAATTCCGGAGATAGCAAGAAGTCCCTTTGGCAAAAGCACTATAGGGGATACTAAGAGTGCGCCTGAGGAGAGTCAAGAAGATCATCTCTCACGTTGTTCCAAAGATACAAAAGAGCAGCTTGGTGCTCCAGGGTGTAAATCATCAAGATGTTCTGCCGCCATTTGTCGGTCAACGACAACCACACCACGAAGAATCACTCAGAAATCCACAATGATTCCAAATTCGGGCAATTTTCAAGCGAGCGTGTGAAAAGCTGCGATTCTCGTGGCAGGCGCAGGGAATCGTGAGGTTGCGAGGTGTGATGGAGGTGACATTTCGTGGCAGGCGCAGTACTTTGTGCGCGTTAGACGTGTGGACGCGGAAAGATTCGTGGCAGGTGCAGGGAATCGGGAGGTTTGTGAGTTGTGGTAGAGCTGAATGTCGCTGTCACATTGGGATTGGCGTGTGAGCGGGTGTCGTTTGGAGGGGCTGGAATCGCGAAACTGCTTGGCAGGGCTGCGTGATGTGTGTGCTGCGATGGGTGTTTCCGCTGGACTTTTGGAGGAAGTCTCGTGCGAAACGTTCGTTTTGCGGACTTTGACATGTGAGTTTTTGAGGAAGTCTCGTACGGAACGCTCGTTTTGGGGACTTGACATGTGACTTTTGGAGGAAGTCTCGTACGAAACGCTCGTTTTGGAGACTTGACGCATGACTTTTGGAGGAAGTCTCGTGCAAAACGCTCGTCTTGCAGCCTCGCAGCGTGACTTTTGGAGGAAGTCTCGTACGAAGAGTGTGCCCTACAGGAGTGTCCCACAAGAGTGTCCTACAAGAGTGTCCCACAAGAGTGTCGCACAAGAGTATCCCACAAGAGTTTCCTACAAGAGTGTCCCAGAAGAGTGTCCCACAAGAGTGTCCCGCAACAGTGTCCCACAACAGTGTCCCACAAGAGTGTCCCGTATGAGTGTCCCACAAGAGTGTCCCGCATGTCCACAAGAGTGTCCTACAAGAGTGTCCCGTATGAGTGTCCCACAAGAGTGTCCTACAAGAGTGTCCCACAAGAGTGTCCCACAAGAGTGTCCCGCAACCGTGTCCCATAAGAGTGACCCACAAGAGTGTCCTACAAGAGTGTGCAACAAGAGTGTCCCGTAAGAGTGTCCCAGAAGAGTGTCCTACAAGAGTGTCCCGTAAGAGTGTCTCACAAGAGTGTCCCACAAGAGTGTCCCGCAACCGTGTCGCACAAGAGTGTCCCACAAGAGTGCCCTACAAGAGTGTCCCACAAGAGTGTCCTACAAGAGTGTCCCACAAGAGTGTCCTACAAGAGTATCCCACAAGAGTTTCCTACAAGAGTGTCCTATAAGAGTGTCCCACAAGAGTGTCCCACAAGAGTGTCCTACAAGAGTGTCCCACAAGAGTGTCCCACAAGAGTGTCCCGCAACAGTGTCCCACAAGAGTGTCCTACAAGAGTGTCCCACAAGAGTTTCCTACAAGAGTGTGCAACAAGAGTGTCCCGTAAGAGTGTCCCACAAGAGTGTCC